ATATATATATATATATGAAATATATATATATATATTTAAAGAGTCGATCCTGAAGGATCATTGAATGTCGTACGAGAACGAATGTATTACAACCGCCCAAGCCAATATATCAAATCACCATTCTGGTGACTTTCTCTGCCAATCCAAAGTACAAATTCCGTTCCGTTCGGCCAAATCTGAAATATATATATTTATACTCAACTTTGTATCGTATAGTTTGTACAAGCTAAAGCAGTAGCGTCAAATAATATTGACAAATAGACTCCAAAAAACGCGACCAAATTGGGTGAAATACGCACTAAATTCACGTACAAACAAGGATGAACCGTACATCTATTTACCTGTCCTCCCAAATGCAAAACTAAGTTTAACGCGGAAAACGGTTGGCTCGTCGTCGCTTCGATCGTCGACCACAGCTGCGACGACGACGACGAAGCTGGGGATGTGAAGCATACTTGCAAATCCCGGCACACGAGGACGACGTTCCACCGCGTCGGCGCGGTCCCCGGAGTGTGGAATGAACAGCAGCCTTCACCAGCACTAGACGACGGGTCTAAGCCGAGAAATCGCGCCGTGTACTGCTGACCAGGCGTCAAATGAGTAAATGTAAACGCTTTTGGCCGTCGCGCAGGCAGCAGTTGGAGCAGTCGATGCTCATCGGACGGATCGAGAACGTTGGTCACGACGCAGCCCACTGTGGCCGTCTGGTCCACTTCAAGAAGAATTGTACACGCTTGACTGTCTACGACACCAACCACAGGACCCACGAGCACATTCACCGTCGACGCCAACTAGACTCACAGAAAAATAGTATTATAATAGGTAAAAAATACATATTGTTTTATGCGTTTAATATGATTAGTAATATATGTTGAGGTAGGACACTACCGTGAGATATGTATATGGTTATAGTATATATATATATATTCATCCAATGACCAGGTCGAACTTTGAAAAACAATTAACCAGATGGAGGCCTAGAAACAGGTCCAACTGGAAACATGTTTTGGATAGATATAACCACTGTACTAGTACATAAGACCAGGGGAGATATAAACAAGACTATCGTATGTGTCGTGGATCTACTCCATGAAAAATAGGAACGTAAATATATAGGTATTAGGAACGTAAATATATAGATATTAGGAACGTAAATATATAGGTATTAGGAACGTAAATATATAGATATCGTTCCATATAATTTCAAATGAAGGAGACAACAATTGAAATATATAAATACGTCATTAAAATTATTCAACGGGAAGTGCTACGTAGTACATGGTGCAAAAGGTACGACAACAAATACAGGCTTGTGGGAATGATAAATCCAAACCTTTGTCGGATATCGTCATGCTATTCTCGGGATATATATAAATAAATATATAGACAAATATAAATATATATATATAAAAATCTATATATATATAAATATTCTCACACTCCATTTGAAAAAGTATATACAAGGGTAGGTGGCCAACTTGTTGTTATCGATGATCCATAAGAGATAATGTATAAGTACGTGCCAACACATAAGACTAGTCTTTTGAATTCAAGGCCATTTGGTTGTACGACCACCAACTAACTGTACCTGGCCCACGCGCCGACATGTCACGACTGGATCGCGGCCTTCCGCGGCGGCCAGCGTAAGGATAGCAAAGTTGTTTTCCCCGGGAAGAACCACATCGTGCTGAAATGCAAACCGATCGCCCACGACGCCTGTCCTCGTCGGCACTAGCGCCATGTGACACGGTCCGGCGATGGGCCCCACGACATGCTGATGGAATTCCGTGCGCATTTTCATGTCTGTGACCGTTGACGCCAGCGCCCCCCCCATCGACGACGCGCCAGACAGGAGCACGAGCTCCCGATTTGGTTTCTATAAACAGGCGGTGGCGGCAGCACGTATGTCAGCCACATTGTCCATCATTTGCGTATATATAATATATATATATGCCGTCATCCATGTATTCGATCGTTGTTTCCAAGTATTTTGAATTTGCTACAACGTTTCTAATTCGGCGCGATTCGGAGCACCGATCACAAAGCATGCCGCGGCACAATTTCATTGGGCACGAAGTACAAAAGAAAAAGTAATCTAGCCAATCAGCGACAAGGAGTTTTTCAGACTGACCAATGGGAGCAATTCGTGATGATTGTGATTCGATTGAACTGGGTCTAGAAATTCGACCGCAATCAACAGTGTATCAAATAGACATTCATTCGATCCAATTGAAGATCGAATGGTATATATATATATGAAACTAAAGTACAAATGATATATATATATATATCAAACACAAGAACGAGTGATATATATATATATATACTTTAATAGTACGACATGAAACAGGACAATATGTATTTTGTGTCCTCTATTCCCACTGTCATCTTGTTGTGTACCTGGAGTTTCCATTCAGAGACGAGGGTCAGTAGCCGCTGTTGGTCGCGGGGAACAGCGCCCCACCAACTCCGACACGAAGACCGAGGGTTGGGCCTAGAGGACGACGACGACGACGGAACCTTGGAGGATGTTATGAACTCTTGAATATTAGCATTCGAGTCGTCCACAAGGGGCAGTTCGGAGCACACGACTAACACACGCAGCGTCACATCGGCCAGCACCTTAAGCACAAAATCCCACTGCACGGGGCTAAACACGGGGTTGTCTGGCGCCTACACTTGACAGCGTGTACGTGATATATATAATATGGCTACGAACGAGGTTTAGATCGTATTCATATGTAGGTAGATTGTGCAATCGGGACTTCCGAGTAGAATCGAATGAATTTGGCAAATGTATTAATTGACCAAGCAAAGTGCAAAGATGAGAAATTTCAACCAATCATGGACTAGCACAGGTTTTATGGCCCCCTTCAAATGTTCATGTTCAAAGTACATTGAATAAGCCAAGTTTCGTACGACCATATCGCATAATCATGGTTTGTTTACGTACTTGAGCTCCGCTGGGTGTTAATTTGGTGCCGCGTATGTCCAGCATGAGAAAACCCATGTGATTCTCCAGCCGAAAAAAGAACTCTTCGCCTCGTCGGGGGGCCGTTTGTTCGCGCAGTGTCACATATTGCGCTTCGAGCTATATATATATATACATACGCACATCAATATTGTGTTGCACTTATTCTAAACTGGAGCACCACCAAATTGAACCGAAGTATTGGTGAAGTATCGAAGATTTCGTCCATTCAGCACACAAGTCCAAATTCTAGGTAAAAGGGCAATAACTCCATATATTGTGAATCGACTTGACAATACATTTGGAGTAGCTGGTGCACAATCCGCTGACCAATCACAGGCAGAATAACACTTTCAAGTGCCAATCACACCCCTGCAAGGATCGAAGTAGTATGTGACCTCAAATAGTGTGAATGACTACCAGAATAATAAAAATACAAACATCAATCCCAAAACTCGACCGGTGGATTGGTGAATCATCAATACAAATATTCACTTGTTGGCTAAATTAGCACAATAGATATAAATATATATATATATGCACCCAGAGGATAAGAATGAAAACTATAAATAAATATATGAAGAACAAAGAAAAAGGGGGTATTCTTACGTTGGCAGTGAGGGTTTTGAGCTCGCTCAATCGACTTTCACACCGTTTGACCATATCAAAATCCATTTTTCGCTTGGCAAGCGCCAAGTGCTTGTCCAATTCAGCCGACTCGAACGCATATTGAGCTACATTTGAGGTGGCCACAATAGCCGCCTCCGATGCCGCCACCAGAATGTCCTTCACAGAACTACTTAACATTATCTCAGACTCAAAACGTCATACCGTTTGAGTTTGAAACTCGTGGTAGTCAACGTCCCATAGCTGGCGCTGGTACTCGTGGTACACCCGCCTTGCCGACCGCAGCAGCACCCGCATCACTTGCATCTATCATATCGTCTCGATTCAGATACACTTCAATCTAGAAAATTGTTGATATATTGTTGTAGTGTATATATATTGTGCTTTTCACCGAATGTTGCCAATTCTGGGGGCTTGGTGAAATCACCACGAAATCGAGCAAGCCGAAAGAATAAAGCCTGTAATGCGATTAACTCAAATGAATACAAACATACCTCTTAACCTTATATATATATCATTTTTCGCAGGTCTGGCGATTGTTGGGTAGTTCACTCAACAAAGTATCAAAACCAAATCGACAGACAACCGACCGACCAATCAAAAGCCAGGACACTATCAATTGGCCAATCAAACAACTTGTGCAACCATCGAATTAGGGTGTGCCTTTAAATATTGTGAATAGCTTGACACACAAAATTCAGTCCAAACAATCGACCGATAAATTTGGTGAATCATCAGCACAAATAAATCCAAATTTTGGCTGAACGCTCTCTCTCTCTCTCTATATATATATATATATATATACTATCAATTGACCAATCAAACAACTCGTGCAACCATCAAATTAGTGTGTGCCTTTAAATAGTGTGAATAGCTTGACATACAAAATTCAGTCCAAACAATCGACCGATAAATTTGGTGAATCATCAGAACAAATAAATCCAAATTTTGGCTGAACGCTCTATATATATTATATATATATATACCTGGACGGTCGGCGCTTCGTGATCCATTTGAAACGTGGCGGAGGTCGTAAAGTTGCGGTAAATGTCCTCGTCACCCCACATCATCAAGTTGGACGTGTTGGCCAATACGCGGCGGACGGACGGGAGGCTCCACTGGAACCGGTAGGCGTCGCGCAGGCGCTCCACGACTTGGGCTTCCATACTCGTCCATGAAGAAGATGGGGTCGAAGAGGTTGAGATTGATGACGTGGCAAAGCGGGAGAGCATGATCCAGCACTGATGGAACGCATTTTCTAGCAGCACTTGACCGCCCAAATGCAACGTGTAATGCACTGGCAACAAGTTTTCATTGGTAGTAGTAGGACTACTAGTAGTAGTAGTACTAGTCGGATCGACATCGGTGGCCAATCGAGCCCACATATCCAGCGTGTCGCCTGAAAACACATTGTTGCCGCTTACAACCCCAATGCGGACTGGAGCGTCCGACACATGCAAAGTATGGACGTAGCCACATCGAGTGGTGGCGTCGGCCTCCGCGAGACCGCTAAACGCGTAGGCGTATGACGTGCCTGGGAGGAGGTGCTTCATGTGAAAGATGCTCGGACGGCCTTTGACGCAGTCGACAGCGACTCGTGCCGCGTCGACTTCGAGCCACTGGCCAGTGACCCGTTCGCGGCGAGAGACGTGACATGTGACTGTCGTGGACATGTCGACTTCGAGGAGGATGCGAGCGTAATCCGGACCGACGGCGCCAACCACAGGCCCGACAACGACAGCTACGCCTAGTATCCAGCACGCATCAGCATGCTTGTTGAAACTGTGGCATGGATTTCTCGTACCTTGTTTGCATCGCAGGACACAACCACGGAGCTGGATGTGGTGGGGAAGCAGAGGGCGGCAACCAACAGGGTTCGTTACTGCCAACACCGCCAATGTGTCCTCGAGCTTCGCCAGCTCTGCCTGAAGTGCCCCGCAGCTTTCTGCATTGCCCATGGCTGTATTGGCTCTCAATGCAATGGATCTTGTATGATATAAATAACCAATCAAATAGCACTTGATCAAACTTCACCAATGAAAATCCGTTGAAGATCATTTCATCCAATCATATCAAGGTGACGCTTCGCGCAACATGCAAACTTGTTTCCTTCACCACCATGGCGAGTGCAGGCGTGTTCGCGTTCTCCCGAACGGTGCAAGAAGAGATGGACTGGATGGAGGCGATGCGGCGTGCTAACCCAGACGCGGCAGAGGACGTCCTCTCAAACAGCCGACTTTTTGTTGAGCTGGCCGCGGAAGGCGAAGTGCGCTCGATGGCCGAGATCGTCGCCGACGTGGACGGCCAACTGCAAAACAACGTGTTGTGCTACTACTTTGTGAAAATGTTCCAGGTGGCGTCGTCTCGGCGACGCATGGATGTGCTCAAGTACATGCTGGACCACGGCTTTGATGCCCACCATGCGTTTGTCAAGGACACGTTGCACCGCGTGATCGACGCCGCCGCCAGCGACGACGAAGACACGTTGCAGCCCGTCCTGCACCTTCTTCTTGCCCACATGGACGTCAACTTCCAAGTACGATCATAACTCAAGCGATCATTGGATTTTTAACAGGCATACGACGCAGCGGCAAGGCGATCTGTTCACGCCACTGCATGTGGCCTGCGCAAAGAATTTTTACGGCGTGGCGTCCCTGCTACTCCTCTACGGAGCCGACGTCAATGCCATTGCCGCGGTGACTACTACTCTCATCCCAACTCGAACACTTCTGAGATATCTAGTTATAGGACGACTTGATGCCACTCAATTGTGCCGAACGCTGCGTGGCGTCACCACAGAACGACGCCATGACCAATTCAAATACACTCGTGGAGCTGTTGAAGAAGCATGGAGCTCGTCCGACGTGGCGCAGACAACAGCCAGCACAAGTACCCGCAACACAGCCAGATCAAACGGTGGACTTGTCGTCGCAATTCAAAGTGCTGAGCTTTTCCTCCCACAACTTCGACGCGTTGTCGTCAACAGGACTCATGTTTACCACACACGACACGGATTAGCATAACGTTAAGTACTGTCACTCGACAGGACTTTGAATATCAATCGAAAATCAAGCTCCAAGCTCATTTCGAAAAATCGATATAACGATTAAGTTACACCGTTGACCGTAATTAGTACGGACTGAGAATTAGTGTGGAGTCAGAATTACGTAGTGCGGTCTTCACTAATAATACATGTGTGATGGAATTCCAGAAATTTGTGGTTGGTCAGTAGTGCGGACCAATTTCGTGCAATATTGGTGTTTGGGGTGTATGACACGATGCTCAATTACTCTGGTAGTTATAGAAAACCATTAAGTGTGGTCGAATAACCCTTGTATGTATGATGTGTCCGCACTATTGACTGTTTCATCAATGCCGATTTGTGATATTTCATGACAAATCCAACATACAAAATTAAAGATAATATTCCTTTCTAATTCTCAATATTCAAAATTGGTGCTGTCCGCACTAATTCTCCTAGCCCATAAATAGTGCGGATTGAGATATAGTGCGGTCCGCACTAATACATGTGCCGTAGGTCTGGTGACGAGGTTGAAAATTAGTGCGGTCTGCACTAATTACGGTCATCGGAGTAGTTATACCACAAACATTCGATAGATTTGACAGGGCGCGATTTGCTCGTGATGTTTGGGATCGCGGGGCTCAGTATTTTGGATACTGCTGGGTAGTACTCGAAGGAGTGCTATTAATACTTGCTACAAGTCTCTATTATAGTTGATCATATCGTACCGGGAATTCTCGTGATGTTTGAGATTGCGGGGCTCAGTATTTTGGTTGCTGCCAGGTAATACAGTGAATGAGGGAGTGTAAATTCCCTTGTTCACTGTACTGTAGTCGAAGGACTATAAAATACTACTGGTATGTAGTACTTACTACATGTACTGTACTACTAGTACAGTAGTACTACTCAGTAAAAGTCCCTATTATGAGGGATTTTAGCAAGTGAATACTTGAAGGATGTAACGTTACATCATTTTTCCTTAAAGTTTCAGGTTATTTTTGGTATATTGAAGTTCAATATATTTCGACTGACAATCGATCTATTTCGTCTTTAGATGAAGTTCAAGTAAATCTCACGCGTGAAAAACGCTTTTAGCCTTATCTAACTCATAGATACGAGACGACGTGAATTGTCTGCAGTTCTTCCACCTTGGAAGTCAAGTTTTTCTTTGGCCTTGATCAAAGCGCGGGTGGTATAGAAGTTAGCGCCTGATGCAGCAACGAATGGTCATCGCAAAATGCTTGATCTTCATTTAACTGAAAGACGAAATAGATGGAATATCTGTCGAAATATATTGACACCGCTGTGAATAGCACTAAAGTCGAAATACACTGCAACGAACGAAGTATTGTGGATTCAATACGAATTTCCAGACCCCGCCGATATCGAATCACGAATCGACGCTATTGGCTATTCCATTTTTTAATTGGCTTTGATTGGCTCTTGCAGAAAGGAGAAGTATATTCAACCAATCAGAACTCCAGCGTGATTCAATATTGATGATTAGAGAAACCATGTGAACTTTCGACGTTTACAGCGAATTCACAATACTATTAATAGTATACACTACTTCAAGTATTATTAATAGTATACACTATTATTAATAGTATAGGGCCCGGACGAAATATAGGATTTGTTAGGCGAAAGACAAAAAGCAGAATCAGTTACTAGTATGCTTTAGACGAAATATACCAAAAATATCCTGAACTTTAAGGAAAAATGGTGTAACTGTGGTACATTCATTCCGTAGGATTATCTTGGGTTGGTCAGCCTGTTTTTTTCCGTCGTTGTCCATCACATGGGGTTTTGTGGCGAGTGCGGCGCCAAGGACGAAGGCGGCAAGTTCTGTCCCGAATGCGGTGCTCTGTCCAGCGGCAACGCAGGTCTCTTTGGCGACGCCTCGACGGCGCTGTTCCCCTCGGCTCCTGTACCACCGCCTGCCGCGAGCTCGGTGCGTGTCGATGCCGAGAGGAAGGCGACGGCCGCTCGCGAAATGGCCGAGCAGGCGCGGCAAGATGCTGCCAAGGCCGCCGTGTTCTTTGAGGAAACCGAAAATCGTCGGCTCGAGGACGCATTCCGTCTGGAGGAGCAGCAACGCCTCATCCATGCCGCCAACCAGCGCGAAGATATCATGGCGCGGCAGCGAGATGCCCACGCGAAACGAGAAGCTGCCGAGCGGCAAGCCGAGGAGGCGCGGCAACGTGCCATCAAGGTATTAACCATTCGTTTCTCCGTACAAGCGTCATTATCGACGATAAGGGTGACGTTCGTCGTTGTAGCTTCGCGAAGACGCCGCCGCGGCCACTCGCCTCATGGAGGAGCAGAACCGGCGTCGCGAAGAAGAGCACGCACGGCAGTTGGAACACCAACGACAGGTCGAGATGGAACGTCTTCGAGCGTCACATCTCGCCGAAGCCGACCGAGCCCGCAAGGCCCGCGAAGATGCCGAGGCCAAGGCTGCGGAAGCCAAGGCAGCCGCGGAAGCGTTGCGTCAAAAGGCGATGGCGGCCGCGGCAGCCTTGGAGGACCAACGTCGTGCGCAGCAGCAACGGGCTCTGGAGCGAGAGGAGTCCCGTCGGTTGCGGGACGAGCAGCGGGAACGCGACGCGCAGGCCGCCCGGGCCACGGAGGCGCGGGCCCAGCGGGAGGCGGCCGAGCGGCATGCCGACGCTGCGAGGGCCAAGGCCGAGCTCCTTCGGGCAGAAGCGGTTGCCGCTGAAGCGAACCGTCTGCAAAAGCAGTCGAGTTTGTGGCACTTGCAGCAACAACAACAAGCCGTCCCGATGGTCAGCAGCTTTCAAGAGCTCAGTGTCCAAGACACCTCAGCAGCATGTTCGCAGTGTCTGGCGCCGTGCAAAGCATCGCAAAAGTTCTGTCCGAAATGTGGCTTCAAGCGCGTCGAGGCTGTCATCGCTTCTGCCCCTGCGCAGCAGCAACGAGTGGCCGATACATCCTGCACCACTTGCCATGCTGCCCTCAAATCGACCCAAAAATTCTGCCCCAAGTGTGGGACGCCTTCGGCAATAACTAGCGCGCCAATTCCCCCAGTTAAAACCCTTCCAGTTGCTTCTATCGTAGCAACGCCGCCAACTACTTGCCCGTCGTGCTATACGACCTTGAACGGCCCCCATAAGAAGTTTTGCCCCAAGTGCGGCGCGCCGGTTGCTTCTGCCGTGCCCCCCGTCGCCCCATCCTCATCTTCGTCTTTTGCTGGGGCGATCCCCCTCGTATCGTCGACATCGTCGTCCTTCTCGGGGGGAAGTGGGCTGCCTTGCCCCGCGTGCCGCTTTCAGTGCAAACCAAACGCAAAGTTTTGTCCTGGCTGTGGCTCAAAGTTTGGCTCGCAGCCCACTGCAGACCAAATCGCGACAATGGAAGCCGACGACAACGAAGTCCGCCGCAATATGGCCACTGCCCAAGCCAGACTCGATGCTCAGAAACTTTCCGAGCAACAAAGTCGATCGTTCGCGTCGTCGTTAGCGGCCCAAGCGCAAGCTGCATCGGCTTCTCGCCAGCCGGCTCCCCCGACTTCCTCGGTATGGTATATTTGTCCGTGGACTTAATGACTAACGCCACTTTTTATGTGTAGAACTATGCGTTGTTTTAACGTGAATAAACGTGTGGTGGGCAAAGGCCGCCATGCTGCACACATGAACACAAACACTTTAGTTGGAGTCACGCACCCTAATATTGAATAAACGTGTGGTGGTCAAATGCCGCCATGTTGAAATATCGTTGGAGTCACGCACCCTAATATTCTGCTGTGAACACGCATATGGTGAATAATACACTGTGTACTGTAGCCAATTTGCAAACCAAGGAGTGTGTTGTTGAGCATTGAAACATGAATCCATAATCCTACTATTTTTAACATCCCACTTGGAAATACTGTATATCTTCAAACCAGTACGATCCACAAAATAAGAGCAAGGAATAACTATTTACTACACGTAGTAGTTCTAAACGAGGGTACTAATATGTACTATACTCTCTCTGTTTGCTTTTACTGGGGCTGGTACTAGTAGTACAGTAGTACGAAGTATTTATTGTTTTGGCGTCGGTTTTACATGGCTAAAAGAGTGGTACTTCAGCTGTAATTGTTGAATAAATACCTGGTGTTTTAGCTCATTCACTGGGTTTTAAACAACTCTGAGCAATAATAATCACATGTAATGCTGAAGTGATCAAAACACCTTGGCTATAAATTCCATCGGGTAGTACATGCTACCTGCATTTACTCACAAGAAGATGGCGTGGTTTTCTACAATGGGCACCATACATACAAATATACATCGATGTACGGTAGAACTGCGGCGCTTGTCCTCGCTGTGTGTCATTTGTAATATCAAAAGTTATTCATGATGACCAGTGAATTGTGTAATTTGGTCCCGAGCATAGCAGATAAAACTTCGATTTGTACTTTCAAAGGTGCAAAAGCGAGGGAGTTGCATAAATGACCTCCATATAATTACATTCTGTAAAAAAACACATCCTAAATCACGGTACGGATTAACTGCCACAGTGTCCACAGCAACCATACGACAAGTGCGTCCGAGATTGAAGCTCACATTGCAAGACACAATTTCGATTGTGAACTCCCTCTGTCGACCTGTCATTGAATTTTAATCCAATAGAATTGCATTTGTATTTACTGTTAGTGTATGTAGGAGTGGCTGCATGATGACTACTGGGAAGGATTCGTGAGCAGGAGAACATACGTGGACAGATGAGTCGGGGCTACTATTCGACACGATCAACGCTGTGGTGCCTGCGATGCGCCAATGTTATACGATGGAGCAGTATCATGAACATCATAGTTCAGTGACTTGAATATCGTGACTAGTTAGTTATGTTTGGTGTTGGTTGCTGGCAGCCTCCCAGGCGTCTGGAGCCGTCCACGTCGTATCGCCAGTCACTTGATCCACGTAATAATATGCTTGATACGTGTCGTCCCACACCTGCACCCACGCTGGCTCTTTAATGTGTTGAACCTGGTTGGACCCTTGTGGGGTTGCCACGTCATCGCATTGGTGCAATGTGAATTCGGGTGACCGGACCCACGACGTGGCTTGGGTGGCGGTGTGGTAATAGTAGCAGCAACCGGAAGTTTCGTCCAGACACTCGACCCACGAGCCAACTTTTAACGCTCGAAATTCTCGCTTCGCCATGATACTCCGCCCAAAGCACTGCAGTCGAACGATCGCCCGTTCCTTGGCCATGTCCTTCTGCCGCTGTCGCCACTTTTGGCGGGCTTGGCGTCCCCAGTGCAGCCACATACCCCTTTGAATCGTCATGGCGCTTGCATTTAACCGACGGTATCGACGGCGGTACCACCGCTCCAATCGGGTGGCCAGCAGCGTCTGGGCAAATACAGCGATGGTCAGCGCTTGCTGGCGCTGGGCAGCAGCTCGAGCCAGCCGTTTTGCGACTGCCACCCGAAGGTCGCGGCGGCGGCGGTACTGACTCTGGATCTGAATCACGGCGCGGACCTTGCGGCGGTGTTTCATGTGCGTGACAGCTGCTTGCACCTTGAGCTCATATTCGATTTGAAGTGCACGCAGGACCTTTCCCGCGGCAAATACACGAACCGCACACTGAATCGTACGGGCCGCCACAAACAGTCGCCGCTAGTAAAGTGACAAGAACATAATGAGGTTTCTTGTTGGCCGCATTCACCACATTATATACAAGTCGAACGAGAAGGGGGGGTACAGTATACATGTATATGGCTACCTGGTGAAGCTCGACCCGCGCGCAATGCTGACGGTAGGCGCATTGCATAACCACGGCAGCATGCTGCCGACGCGCACATAAGCGAACCTCCCGCTCCCGACGAACAAGTCGTTTGGCAACGCTCGCTCGAAAGTGTGCTTGGATGGCAATTGCGGCCTCCACCCGCTTCCGTCTTGCCGACGCCGCGAGTCGGCCACGATGGCCCCGGTACACGCGCTGCAGCGTCCGCCGTGCCCGATCACGTTTCAAATCCAGTGCAGCTTGGCGTTGTGTGTCCAGAAAGACCAAGTGTCGGACATACCGAGCGCGCCACCACCCCTGGATCCGTATCGCTGCAAAGGTCCGGTTCTCGGAACGTAGCAACGCCACGGTATGTCGGTGCACAAAGCAGCGGAACCTACGACATAAATCAACACCAAGACATACGAATTTGATATCGTGGCTAGCCAGCCATCATGCCTGGATTGAATACGCGTTGCTGCTATCGTTCTCTGGCGATGGGCTGTCAACGTGTATGGAGTATGCTGTCGGTTGTACGAAAGGGAATGTGTGACATGGCTACACGAGTGACAGAATGACTCGTGGCAAGTCAGACAGATCCGATGGATCGCCCGAGTGTTGCAGGTAGCACACACCCCTTGCGTTTCGGTCTGTCGCTGGGCGTAGCCCCGATAAGTAGCTGCGATCTTGGTAGCGTGGCGATATCTGCTGCGGTAGACTTCGATGGCCATCGTGTCCCAGTCCCCCTCGTCGTGCTTTATTTGCTGCCCCATCGCATTCGAGCAGGAATTGCACAACTCCAAGCTATATGCCAATGCAAACACCTCTGCGACGGCTTCTTGGCACTCCATACACGGTCCCTGGCTCCGCAGCCACCTCTTGAACGCCACGCGACGGCGGGCGCGGCAGCATCGAAAGGCGCATTGGATGGCTAAAGCAGCTTTTTCTCTCGCCCACTCGTGTTTACAAGCTTGGAACCTTGTGCGGGCTACGTGCGCCCGGAACGCTGCCTGGATCATCGTGGCTTTGTTCGTGCGGCGCAAGAACGATATCATATATCTCCACTTCATCGACCGATACCAGCAACCGACGATGTTGGCGCTGTGTTGCTCTAAAAGTTGCTGCCGTCGTTCGGGGACAACTAGGGTTCGCGCAATGTACCCTCGCCCCAGTGCTTGCAGACGAATCACCGCGCGGGTGCGTCGACACTCTTGACACCATCTATGGTACACCTGTCGAAGTTGATATGCCCGAAACGAGTTTTGCAGCACGATGGTGGCAGCCGTCGCCACTCGAATTCGCGTCGCCGCCCAGCCAAACTTTCGTGCAATGTAATTGCGCCATGTACGTCGGAGAAGGCGCTGGCTACGGCCCTGTGTCACAAGCTGCGACACCGTCCATTGGAACTTCATCCCTTGGTACGCATGCCAGCTCTCTTGCACGATCCGTGCCGCCCCCTCCCGTTGGCGGAGTCCGTCGCGAACCCCACTAGCTGCCGCCGCCCGCCTCCGTCCCAGAACCCCTCGCCACCGCCGTTGAATAGTCACGCTTCCTTCCTCGACCAGTCGTATGTTTCTCTGCCGTTTCCATTTTCGAGAGCAATGGACTGCCCATAGATTGGCCTGCAGCGTTTGCGCGGCCGTCGCCTGCCGCCGCAGCCTCCGCCATCCGTCGCTTGTCCTTCGACCCACGTACCCTCGCCAGGTTCGCTGCATCAGCTGAATCGCTACCTTGGCCCTTGTCCAGCGCACTCGATCGACGAAAAATCGGCCAAGTCGCTGGAGTGTTTGTGCAGCTTGCGTGTGCTTTAGATGCGTCGCATGGCGTCTTGCAGTCCACCCCCGATAGACGCGTTGAATTGCCGTCGCTGCCTTGCTATGACGACGTCGTAGGGCTCGTCGTGCTCCTTGCCACCCCCGCACCGTTCGCTACAGCAATTGGGGCAGTTATTACATCAGTATCAGTGGCCAACTATTTTTCATCAGTATCGAATCGGCGTTGGTTCTCAAAATGTCATCCACGAATCGTCATGACATGGGATCGAGCATTGTAGTTTGACTGTACGAACTTGAATTTCAACGGCGGCGGCGGTGCCTTCAACGTGTTGTGCTCGCTCCATCTGCTTCTGCCACCTTGGCCACGCCAACGCAAACGCGTTGTGCTGCCACGTGTTAAACACACGAAGGGCACTTGCTTGCTGGGCGCGGCGGGTGTGCACCACCAGTCGAGTCTCCAACAGCTCCTCTAATTCCCGAAAGTGAAACTCGGACGCTGTCGGGATGCGCTACACAGGCTTCCACATGAATGCTCCATCTTGTTTGGGGTTTACACTGACTGAATGATGCTTGGACGAACCTGCAACACATGGAACGAGATATCGCCCAGACCATACATTTGCACGGTGCGCACCATCGCCTTGTGACCGTGTGCCCCCGAAGTCAGATCGGCCCAGTTTTGACTCTTGGCGTTGGCAAGGTCCCATGTCGATCCTGTGCCGTAAATGGTTGGGAGGACTTTTCTCTCTGAATCTAATGGTACTACAAACAAGAAAATATACCGAAGAATGCGTGGCCAGTGTGCTTGTTCTGAAGCACGTAAATGCCAGCGTTGATCTCCGTGTGCAATTTGGGGGGCGCTGGCCTCCTCGATGCCTTGGTCGGACATCGAGTACTGGTGGTAGCTACATGTTGAAGACTTTATTCGATTTGAAAAATAAGTCTTTTTATTGTGTGGAACGTACATTTTAGGTCGTGACCATATTCGAATCGTTTGGATTTTGGAAACGACAACAACAACCCGTCATCTCGCTGGGGCTTTGTCGTCGTCACCTTCATTGGTGGCCCTAAAGTAATGGAAATCAATCATATAGACGTAGAATCTGCCAAACGTTTGATGTATGGCACCATGGGTGGTTAAACTTACGTGTACATTTGACGAGTTTTTTCTTTCGCTTCAAGTTGGCTACGAGATACATGACAACCATGGACGATTCCATGGAGTTACAACATACACTGTAGCACGTCGAATGCAAAGTCGACTTGAGGATGTTCCTGTAAAAATACATGTGAGTGTTGCTGCGGTGCATCCCTCCGCCTCCGCTTCATCGTCGTTGCCCTCGCATATATGTTGCGAACGTAACGGTCAGTTGCATCTTGAAACTGCCATAACCGTGAAACACTTTTAAACTAGAAATGGCCGAGCCAATATGGCGCGGGTCGCGGGACTTGCTCCAATGGTCAAGATGCGTCGAAGGAAACAGCACTCCATGTGATATTGTAGCGTACGAAATTGACCGACCAAAGTATGCGATGGAGTTCCATGTCGCCCCACACCCAACAAACGGTACGCACATGAAGACGAGCATTCGTCTAATTGTGTGCATGGCTACGGGCTAGCAGATGAAAACGTAGATTCAGCACCGCTCGTACGGTGTGTAACCGTGACAGACGTGGCGCGGTGCGTCAAAACTAGGAGGCAGCCCCCCCCCCGCCGTCGCTCACCTGTTGATCGTACTCATCAGCAGCTGCAAGTGTCTACAGACGTCGAGCGGGCGGACAAAGCCATACACTTGTGGATCACAAAGCACAAAACTCCTCCTCGGCAAGACATCATCGTGTGGCTCCTTGAACGACTCGTGCTGGTACCACTGGCCGGCAGTCAGTATCGCGTCGCATTCACACACGAGCTCGTCCGCAGCTCCACCCCGAACAACCGGACGAACGATGTACCAACTGACGAGGTTTGACGCCACCGTGAACATGAGACCAACGCGTGCTTGCTTTCAACCTCGTCATATCTGTAGATTGCTCCACGCAGCGACATAGGATGGGACGAAGACGAGTTGCCCTGCTTTTCGGCCCCCTCAAACGACGACAGCGCGTACAACGACGATGAAGACGAGGATTTACCAGCCTTTTCACCCGTGAAACGGCTTCAAGTGCAATCGCAAGAATTCAAGTGAGAGCACTCTCCTCCAGTCACATCTTGACCAGCCCGCATAGCCCTCGATAGCAATACTCAAACATACATTCGCTAGGGACCATCATCACGACAACCCTAATCATCCCCATGAGGACAATGCTGACGAATTGGTTGACCGTCGCCACCGCAAAAACCACGTCACAGAAACCCAAGGATTTGAGCCATCCCCCCACGTCCGAGCATCTCGTGTCGTCGAAGATGGCAAGTCCCCTCCGAATGCATGGGCCAACGATTCGTGGCGCCTGGTACTGGAGCTTAAAAAGTCCAAACTCGACATTGCACGAGCACGAGAATTTCAGCGCAAGCAGGACGTGATCGCCGCTGCTCGCAAGCAGCGACTGTTGACAGCCGCCTCCAAAACACGAACGCATGCCAAACTGGACAAGCAAACGAAGAAACTAGTCCACGAAGCCACAAGGGATGCCATCGAATACCACAAAGTACGACGACTCCCCCCAGATAGTAGCATCCCCACTTCATCCCCTCACATTCACCAGGTGCTTGATACCATTGAGAGGCAAACCAAAACCAAAAACATCCAACACATGCACGAACACGAACTCACGACGCGGTTTCTGCGTACGGGACAGCGCCAAAAGTGGCATAAAGGTACCCCCACACCTACATACCCACTACGTACCCCGCACCTACATACCCCCCAGATATTCCCCCACATACCCCCCACAACATCTCTTCTCCCCCCACGTGACGATGTTTCTCCTTAGGCGCGTGGTTGGGCGAGGGGCCGTTTCCGTCCGCCGCCTACGTCCTGCCTCCCCCCGACACTCTCCCGTTTGTATACGACGTCCACGGACGGAGGCACGATGCCGCCCGCGCCGGGGACGTGACATCGCAGAGCCTCTTTGACGCCGTGATGACGAAAATCCAGCGGGAAGCCGCCAAGGCCGGCAAGCAGTTGGTCGCGTACTTTCAACGGTACGACGTCGATCGCAGCGGCACACTCACCACGGGGGAATTCCGCCGCGCATTGGTTGATATGCATGTGGATGCAAGTGACGAGCAAATGGACGTGTTGTTTGCTTGGTTTGACCGCAACCACACGGGGGGTATCGATTACGGCGAAGTACGACGTTTGATTGTACCTATCCATCTATCTTCATTGGAATCTCTACTCTGAATATGCAGACTTTTAGTTTTTGTGGAGTTTTTTCAACCGCCGCGCATTTGCCAAGCAGTGGAAGGCCACAACAACGACGACCGCCACCAGCCGCCCGACGTCAATGACGATGGCACGCCTCGAACAAATGTTTTACAAACACGACAGTCGACACAATCGAGCGCTCACAAGTCGCGATTTCTTCGTCGCCATGAAAGAGCTCGGGTTTGCCTTTACTGCCATGGACGAAGCGTTGCTCGTGCACCAGTTTGACGCGAATGGCGACGGGTGTATTGACTTGGACGAATTCGTCGCCGCTTTTTCGTCCGCTGAGACAGACCACAATGTCCAAAATGAACGGAAAGACGGGCATCCGCCACGGTCCGTCGATCATTCCAAACCCCACCAGAACGTTCAACAACAGCCTACCGTCACCCCCTCTCGCACCAAACCAAGGACTCAAACTACTGCTACTAGAAGGACTACTAGTAGTACTACTCCAACTACTATCCAGGCCGACATGGACGAACTGGCCCGCATCCAACGCCGCCTCCACAGCTTGTTGCAGCAATAACGCACAACATATATATCATTTTTTAATTCTAGACGTCGCCGGGTATACTGTGGTATACTGTATCGCTCTGTTTGCCGCAAAATATATCATTTTTCATAACTCACTGTGTGCCACAAATCGATACAAAATATATCACTTTTGACCATGATACAAAATATATCATTCTATATAGTTTGTTTAGTTGGCGGGGTCAGCTGATCGAGCGGCCACCGAGGCGAGTACTTGACGGTGGTGGGATCATCGCGTACCCCTCGAAGGAAGCGCTCCATACCTGCCCACGCCACCATGACCCCGTTGTCGGTACAATATCTACGATATGATTTGTAATCATGTGTATTTGAAACGATGTATATATGAATATATATATATATATTATATATATATTTGTAGTACCGAATGGGTGGAAAGATTGCAGTGAGCCCTACGATGCCATCATACACATCTCAGAACTCGATAATGTATATTTAGTGGCCCTAACTGGTATATGCCTCTTAATTACCTTGCGAAGTTGCCAACTCTTGTAACTGGCTTCGCACGTTGGCATTTGCAGCCACGCCACCACATACTACCTACAGAGCAACCTAGAGTTAGCAACAATAGATGACTATAATGACTATAATATATATATATATAAATATATATATATATATCACATTACATATCTTCGTACCAAGTGTTTCATGCTGCCCATAGTAGACGCTTGCGTGAGCTCACACGCGAGGCGGGTTCGGGTCACCAAATGGGCAATCGCTGTCCGCTAAACATATTCGATCTTAGATACTAGTATTTGATTTGAAGAAAGAATTAAAAAGAAAATATAATTTTAATAAAAGAGCCATCATTTATTGTGCTTTCGAGTGAAATGATGTGTTGTGGTTTCTCGTTGGAATGTAAATCGATTTGATTGGCTACTTCCGAAGAGCTCAAATTTATTAGCCAATTAAAACCCATTTCTCAATGAAATTCAACCAATCAGATCGATTGTGGATCGGTTTGGTTGGCGCGATTCAATTGCACCCCCTCCCCAAATTTGTATCAAATCGACAATACGGAAATTGAAATAATTGAGTTTATTCAAAACTGGAACGACATTCGACACCACCAAATTGTGCACAAGAATGGGCAGACGTAGTATAGAGCCAATCAGATGGCCGGAAACCAGGATTAACATGTAATTAGTGTGTGACTTGAATTAGTGTGATTGATTCCAATCCCCATAAATCAACTTTACACATATATATAAAATTAACTCACTACAACGAATCGATATAGATTTGGCGAATCAGCACACAAGTCCAAATTATGAGGAAAAACGACTACAGGACCAACGTTTATTCACCCCTAACAGTCTCACGTACTTGGAACGAAGCAGCTAAATCTTGCTTGGTCTTCATATCCAAAGGCTGGGGCTATTTCATATAAACTCCCAAATCTAATATATCTTTTTCATAGAACTCTATCTTCCCACCAGACTTGCAATGTGTCGAACCATGGCTGTTTTCAAGCCCGAATACGAAAAATCACAGTCCTACCATGATCAAATCAACAACGTGACGACTTGGCTAGTACGATTAACTACTATATGGCAGTAGGTATATATATATATATATATTTACCTTTCGTTGCTTTTTCTTCATGGGCTCTGTGAATGCAAATGCCCGGGGGTTGCCCCGAGCAGCGTACCCCTCAACGAGCTTGCCGCCATGCGACGTGGTTGTGTCGGTGGCTAACGATAGCATGCGCGCCACTTTGTCGAATGCTTCGCCGACGGAATCGTCGACGGTGTTGCCCAGCACATCGTAATCGCCAACATCCTAGCCATATGGACATACATGGGACTAATCCAGCACGAGAATATAAGGTGGTGATGTAGAGTATTATCTATACCTTGGCGACTACGAGCGTACAGTGACCTCCGGACACGAGCAGCACCAAAAATGGAAATCCCAAGTCTTTCTATGGTACATAATATATATATATATATATAGATTCGAAACTGGCCCCTCAGCAGAATCAAAATGTCTTTAGTGAATGGATTAAAGAACCTCCTCAGCCAATCAAATCACGTTCTGTCGAATATCGGCCAATCCAATTTTGCCCAGTCCCTCGGTATTGGGCAAAACCATATATATACTAATCTATGTAATGTATAATTTGTACAAGGTGAAGTAGATCAAATGGATTCGAATGCTATTTCGCGAAATGACACAAGTCCAAATTTGGGCGAAATTCACTATATATATATTAATATGTATGTAGTACCTGGAACAGTCGTGGGACTAAAGCATGGGCCTACCATATCCTCGTCCGATGAGTACCGACGATGAAAAGAGGAGAACAATTTTCAGGATTGTTGCGCTTGTTCTAGAAGAACTCAGCCAATCAGATATCGCCATCAATCCCTCGAATTCGTGTATGACTTTAATTAGTGTGATCAACATCATTCGTTACCTACAGTCCACACAAAAATCGATCGATAGATAGTTGGCGAAGCAGCCAGCACAAACGTCCATAGTTTATAGAGTCAAAGGGCAATATGAATACCTCCAAGTGATTCACCGCTACAATGTCCAGCTTGTGGTCATGTGCGAGGCCAATGGCGGTGGACAAGCCGACATTCAAACAAGGGGCTAACCCTGGTCCGGTGGTGACGGCCACCGCCGACAGACTGCGATACCCCCCTGGTAAACCACTACGATAGGCATGCAGTCGTGATGAGGAAGAACGTCTCAGACTTGGAACGACCTTTGACGCATGGCTTCGTCCAACACGAACGGCAAGTTTTCCACGTGTGCTCGGGCAGCGAGTGCAGGAACGATGCCTGCTCCACCAAGCTCATGAGGAGGAGGGTATTCGTACTACTAGATCTGGACAAGTACCTTTCCATTTCTGAATCATTTCCCATTGGGACGACACCACTTCGCTAAGGATGTGCCCGTTCGAGTCGACGACTGCCACCGCCGTGTCGTCGCAACTACAACATCACGTCGTCCACGTCAAGCATCCTTCCGCCCACCACATCCTTGCATACCTCGTTTCAATGCCCAGCACATACGATACCCTGCGACAGAGGCCATTTCCACGCATCATGCGCTGCGGGGTTACCAACGCATGCCGCATCGGATGGTTGCGCCGAAACACATTCATCGCATTCACTGTGAAATCACGTCCAATCCGGACGATTATCCGAAAATCGTCTGGTTTCCGGATATTCAGTTTCTTATCCGAATTGCGTGACGATCTTGATCCATCTACGTAGTAGTATTATTAATAATATAAACTATTAATACACAATACTACTATTAATAGTATACTAGTATGAGTTTTATTGTTGTTAAACTCAGCCTAAATCATTCTACATTCATCCTAATTAATTAGCTTTATAAGGTACTTCAAAGTTTGAAGTACCTTACGACCATACGAATTACTTGAAGTTCAAAGTAATTCGTATGGTCGTAAAGTCAACTCACTCATAGGCTAACAGTAAATAAAACGTTTCTGTCCAAGTGATAAATTACAGCATATGATTGGTTAAAATCACTACGTCGTTCCGTCTTCGACCAATCAATTTCGAAACTCGGCATTAATAGTACAACAGTAGTATAGTATTAACGTTACTCGTATTTTAATACTTCAAAGCAATATAAATGCAATCTACTCAAGTCAAGTTCGCTACTATTAATAACTTGATCCGGAGTACTATTAATACGTAGTAAGTATTCATAAGTACTAGTAGTACTCGAGAGTGTACTACCAGTATATATATTGTGATGACAACTCTGCGTTGTTACAGTGTCGCGCGTTTGGTCGCGTACCTTAGTCGTAATAGTACTATTACTCTGATCATCCACACCAACACCAGTCGTACATATATATATATATACACACACAACAACATTACAGAGAGAGGTTTCTAGACATGATCATTGGGTGCTTGTGTTTACATGAGCGCACACTTGCCCTTGTCGCTTTCTTCCACGAACCGGTCGATATCTTCGTCAGTGATCTTGCCATCCTTTTTCGGCGGGTACACGGCGTCCACGGTGATCTCTGCCATATCTTTGCGAACATAAAAGCATAAATATGCTGACGCTGTCACGACCTTGGACTCTTCAATCAGCCGCACGCGCTCGTCGTCGTAGCAGTACCAGTTGCCGTCCATGCTGTTCTTGGCGTACGCCGTGTAGTGGCCGCCGCCCAGCGCGCCTTGGTGGTTTACCACGCCATACAAGTCGTAATGGGTCTCGAGGCATCGCGACTGCTCCAGGTTGGTGTTGGTGTAGCCGCGCCTGGCCCGATTTATGTTAGCGGACGGAGGAGATGAGAACGAAGCCGTTGAGGGCGGCGCCGGAGACATGTCCTTGATCGGGTGGTCATCTGGCAAGGCTTCGGGGGGTACCGCCGCCGCCGCCGCCTTCTTATCCGGATACTTGGATGGAAACTCCTCAAATGGCGCCACGCACGACGCCAGGTTCAGTCCGTGAATAGGGAATTGTACCAATGATCCTATCGAGTTTATTACATTATATATATATATAAGAGTATAAATCAAAGTCAATGTAGATAGAATAGAAATCAATATATATCATATATACTTCCATATATATATATGGAAGTAACTATGTAGAATGTAGATCAATATATATATATATAAAGAGATTGCGAACAACAGGGATATATATATATATATTTACCAAGCTTGCGACGATACGTTTGCGTGTACTGGAACCGCTTGAGTTGGATGACCATAACTGGAGGAAGGCGCCAGATTTCCAATTTTTTGGTCATTTCTTGGTGACCACAGCAGCTCGAACAGTACGTCTACATGGCCATTTGGTAAGAAAATATATCGACCCATACCTCCAGCGAATATTTCATATAGTTTAGAAATATGGATATATATATTACCTCGGGGATTTTTTCTTCAAGGCTAAATGCATCCAAACAATGACTCAGCGGCACCGGCCCGTGGTCCAACACGTCGTTCTTGGCCACACTCGGGTGCAAATCCATCGCTTTCATCTTGTCCATGTCCACTTCCTCCTACAATATATAATATATCCCATATTAATATCTCTAATCCCCACAAAATATAATATATATACAAATCTCTCCCTCAACAGCATCCATCGATTATCATAAGTGTATATATATATATATATATA